CTCCTACTCCTCCTCCTCCTCCTCCTCCTCCTCCTCCTCCTCCTCCTCCTCCTCCTCCTCCTCCTCCTCCTCCTCCTCCTCCTCCTCCTCCTCCTCTCCGTTCCCCGTCCTCCACGTGTATGGTTTTTGGGGGAGGGCGAGACTTGGGCGGGGGGGCCCTTCTCTGCGCCCGCTGCTCGCCGGCTCGGCACCCTCCTCCGCCTCCCTGAAGCAGTAGATCGCGAACTGGTCCTCCCAGGAGGAGGAGGAGGAGGAGGAGGAGGAGGAGGAGGAGGAGGAGGAGGAGGTGAGGTGGAACGACAAGTGGGAGAGGGCACCAGGGGGAAGGGAGGGCGAAGGAGGGCGAGGAGGCGCATGCGGACGAGAAAGAGGGTGAGGGGAAGGGGAAGGGGAAGGGGAAGGGGAGGGCGAGGCGGAGGATGAGGTGGTGGGGGGTAGGCGGGAGGGAGGGAGATCCTTCCCTGCGTTCTAGCGCTGATCCTGGCGACGATGCGACACTGAGAATACGTAGTACAGCATCATTCGAGATGAAAGGCACGTGCAATCTGAAGACACTCCCTCCGCTCGGGGGATGCCAAGTGGGACGGCCCCCGTGAGGCAGGAGGAGAAGAGGAGGGGCGGGGGGGAAAATGTGGGGGACATCGCGAGGGCCAGGAGGCGGAGGAGGGTGGGGAGAGAGGCAGGGGGAGGGCAAAGAGGGGAGGGAGGGGAAGGAGGAGGAGAAAGGAGGAGGAGGAGGAGGAGGACAAGGAGGTCCTCCTGGGAGGACGCCTTTCCACCCCAGACCGCCGACCCCAGCTCGCCCGAGGGTAACTGCTGGCGCGCAGAAGTGGGGCCCATTCTGCTCGAAAACACGCGTACACTATGACCGCCCCTGTCACTGTACTGCGACGCCGGCTGTAAGTCATGAAAACAAATCTCAAAACCGTGACCTGACGGCATCCACTCCCACTCCCATCCTCGATCCTCTCCACTCCCTGACCCCAGTCTTGGGTCGGGCATGTCTTCCTTCGGGCGGATTCTGGGTGAACATTCGAAATACAAAACATACACTTGAAAATAGTAAGAAAAAATATAAAGATCGCCCCCTGATTATATTTTCATGATATTGAACATTCCCCCCTGTAGAGGGACAGGCCCGACTTCACCCGTCCCTCCCCTTCTTCCTTCCCCGACCCGCTGCCTCCCTCACCGCTCTACCTCTCGCCTCTCCCTCCCGCCATGCGTCCCCTCCCTGCGCTCACTCCCACCCCCCTCTCCTGACCTCGCTCCGCTGCCTCACTTCATCCAGCCCTGCCACCTCCCTTTCCCTCTCCCTCCCCCTTCCTTCCCGCCTCTCCCTTCTCGCCCTTCCCCTCCCCCAGCCTTCCGCGCATCCCCTGCACTCCTCATGGCACCTCCGCACACACTCGCCTTGGAAAAACTGAAGAGGTTCACGGTTTGGGGGCGGTTCCTTTTCAAAATGTGGCCCTCGCCTCAGCACCGCGCATATTCGTTTTAACAAAGTGCAAAGTTTCACGGAGTCCCATGATCAAGGTACCAAACATGGTGTTTTGGAAGGGTTCAGGCTTACGAGGATGCACAAGATATGTTGACTCGCGGTGTTCAATCCCAGGAGTTCCGTCCTGGTACGATTCAGGATCGTCAAGACGCAACAGTCAAGCTGATCCGTGGCGTTGGAATCCCGAGAACAATGTTTTGGCATGCTCCAGGGTACCCAAACGGTTGTCTTCCAACGAGGCAGTTCCCTCGGTAATAGTGAACCGTTGTGAGGGAGCTTGGAGGGAAGGTTTATTCCAGCATTGTTGATGCCCCTTGGGTTTCCACTTGTCCTCCTCCTCCTGCTCCTCCTCCTCCTCCTCCTCCTCCTCCTCGATCCTCTCTCCTGGAGCTCCGCCTGCCCTGCTGCAGGGTCCGCGAGGCGGGGCCTATACGGGCGGCAGCACCCCCGGCAGGGACCACGCATAGACGCGCAGGCCGAACTGCGTACCGGCCGCCCGCACCAGCGGCCCGGACTCCATGCTGCTGCCCTGGCTGCTGCGCGGGGGGGAGGGGCTGCTGCCCTGCTGCCCGTCCTCCTCCTCCTCCTCCCCCTCCTCCTCCTCCTCCTCCTCCTCCTCCTCCTCTCCTCCTCCTCCTCTCTCCTCCTCCTCCCTCCTCCTCCTCCTCCTCCTCCTCCCTCCCTCCTCTCCTCCTCCTCCTCCTCCCCTCCTCCTCCTCCTCTCCTCGTCCTCGTCCTCCCTCCTCCTCCTCCTCCTCCTCCTCCTCCCTCCTCCTCCTCCTCCTCCTCCTCCTCCTCCTCCTCCTCCTCCTCCGCCCGCGGCCGCCCTCAGTCTCGTGTCTGACCACCTGGAAGACTCGAGACATGGCAGCGTCCGTGGAGACACCGCGTCCTTGCGAGGCAGGCCCTCGCCGTGTTCAGCTCGTGCTCGGTCGGTGCAGTGTCGTTGATTTCGGCCGATCCCTGTGACAGCATGCGCTTCTCTTCTTGTCCCAGTAACGGTAAGACTGGTCCCAGCAGTCATCCCCGCCACGCTTGCGGTTCGAGACAGCGTTACTGGAGTACCATGTTCGACTGCCGAAGTGCCGGTCATAGGAGTGCATGGTAGCAATATGGACATCATCAGCACCGATATTAGCTCTACTCGCGCGCTTCGCGCGCTTAGACTGTAGCAAGCCCGAGCCACTGACCGGCCTACAGCTGCACGCACGCGCGTAACCACAAGCGGCCGCAGCATGCTTCGCACAAGGAGCAAGAACGCGGACAGAGCAACAAGGATTTCAAAAAAGGGGGCCACTGAGTGCTTGGGACCCGCCTCGCTGGGGAAGTCCTGAGGCCATCTTCGGTGTTGGAGGGCGGTCAGGCAGAGGTCAGCCTTCTTGGGTCGGGTTGAGCCGTCTTCGGCCGGAACTGCATTTCTCAAAGAAGGACTGCGGGGAATCCGGAGCAGCTAGGACGAATAGGAGGTGAGTGAGCAAGAGGAACCAGTTCCTCTCCCTGACCATCAGGTCCTTCTTCATTTCCTCCACCTTCCCTTCCTTCTCCTCCTTCCCTTCCTCGCCCTGGCCCCTCCCTTTGTCGCCCTAAATCCTCGGCCTGCTGATCTGTAGCTCCGCGTCCTCCTGCTCCTGCCGTTGGGCCGTCTTGGGCTCCAGATGGATAGAGCCTATCATGGGCCCTTCTTGATGCTCTTTTAGGCCGCCCTGGGGCGATATTTAATGCGTTTCGAATTACTTAGGGTGCTTCAACGGCCAAAAAGACGAGGACTCGAAAATCGTGCAAAACACATGAAAGATCTCCGATGTCTGGCTTTCGGAAGCCTCTCAGGGGTCTTCTGCGGGCCTCCTGGTCCAGCCTTGGGAGCCTGTAGAAGACTTGGAAGCGTTCCTGCTATCCCTGAGCGCTCTGGGTTCAGCCGGAGGTCCACTCAGGCCCCCCCAGCGTTGTTCGGGGCCACCAAGCCCCCATCCGGACCCCTGGACCCCCGAGGCTAAGGTGGGTACCCAGGGAGTTTGGGGAGTTTGGCAAAAATTGGCTGTCCCTGGACCTGGGGGTCTGGACGCCGCTTATGTTTACACACATATATATATATATATATATATATATATATATATATATATGCGTACATACCGACCTACCTACCTACCTACCTACCTACCTACCTACCTACCTACCTACCTACCTACCTACCTACATACATACATACATACATGCATACATACATACACACACAGACACACACACATACATACATACATACATACATACATACATACATACATACATACATACATACATACATACATACATACATACATACATACATACATACGTACATACAGACAGACATAAAGACAGACAGACAGACAGGCAGACATACCTACCTACATACATACATACATACATACATACATACATACATGCATACATACATACATACATACATGCATACATATACATACATACATACATGCATGCATGCATACGTACATATATACATACATACATACATACATACATACATACATATATACATACATACATACATACATACATACATACATACATACATGCATACATACATACATGCATGCATACATACATACATACATACATACATACATGTATACATACATGCATGCATGCATGGATACATACATACATACAAATATACATACACACATACATACATGTGCACCATAATATACATACGTATACACACCACAAACATATATATATATATATGTATATATATACATAGATCTCAATGCGCAACTGCAAGAACCATCGCGCGTGCTTCGCGCGGGCTCAAGTTCTCGCTGGGCTGTACGGTCGAACTCTTGGGGATCTCTCTTGTATGGTACTTCTTCCCCGAGGCTTCCAAGAACGACGAAGACGGCCCAAGTGGCTTTCAAGACTTCCTACGATCCACCCACGGCGGCCTAAGGCAGACCCAAAATGAACTTCGGGGGCGCTTTAACTCGCCGCGGCTGGACGTTGCCGGAGGAAGAAGGAGGAGAACGGAAGGTGAAGGGGTTCCATGGGGGAGAAAGAAAAGGACGAGGAGGAGGAGGAGCAGGAGAGAGGGATGAGGAAAAGGAGTTGGAGAGGGTGGAGGAGGCCGCACAGGAGGAGGAACAGGTGGAGGAAGAGGAGGAGGAGGAGGAGGAGGAGGAGGAGGAGGAGGCGGAAATGTCGTATTTCCTTGTTTTGCAAGCGTAACGAAGCTGCCAGGCGAACTTGAAAAAAAGGAAATGTTGGAATCCCTGTCCTTTCAAGTGCCCCCAGGACCTCTCTTGGGGCTCTTTTGGGCCTCCTTGGAGCTTCTTGGAGACCTCTTGAGGCCTCCTGGGGGTCTCCTGGGGCGAAGATCTCATGCTCTCGGCTCACGTTCCCGTTGCTGGTCCGCCGTTGGGACCCTTTCGGGCCGTCTTGGCCGTCTCTTCGGCCGTTTGGGAGACGTTTTGGGGCCGTCTTGGGGCGCTTTTGAGGCCCATTGGGCCGTCTTGGGGCGATCCCCGGAGCCTCTTGGGGCGTCTTGCAGCGTCGGGGAGCGGAGCAGGCGGAAACACCAAAATGGTTCAAACACCTATGGAACATGAATGTGGTCTGGTCTCTTCGAGCTCTGTTGGGAGACCTCCTGGAAGCCTCTTGGGTATCTTGGGGGCCTCTTGGGCCGTCTGGAGGCCGTCTTGGGCGTCTTGGACCGTCTAGTGGCCTTCGGACCATCCCGCCACCATTCCGGGGTTGTGGGTTAGAGGCATCTCGGAAGTTCGTTTGGAACTCGTGGGAGGCCTTTCGGGTGCCTCTTGGAGGCAATTCTGGAGACCTCTCGGGGGCCGTTTATAGGTTCTCTGTGGGCCTCTCTTTGGGCCTCTTTGGGTCCTCGTGGGGGCCCCTTCGGCTCTCTTGGGGGCCTCCCGGGGCCTCTTAGGGGCAGAAGGCTCGGATTGTCCGTCAGTTTCCCCCCTTCTTGGGCCCCTCTTGGGGCCGTCTTGGGGAACTCTTAGGCGGTCTTTTTGTTAGTGTGTGTTATCTTTTCAGTGGGCTTCGCCCGCCTCCGGCCGCGTGAGGCCCCGCCTTCTTCCGCCCTTTCTCTGCCAATTAAAGCTGTGCGCGTCCCGCGTAGCTTTCAGCGGAAGAGGTTCGCTCTCGCCCTGCAGATCAAAAAAAGTTGTATCTTTTCCGTCTCGTGCACAACTCCTCCAATGTGGCAGATGCCCCATGGGAAACATCTGGGAGCATGGTGTCGATGCTCGGGCACGACCAGCGACATCACACGGCATCGCACTTGTCGCAAAAGCCTCTTCGAGGAAAGCAATCAAGTCACTGGCGGTGAGAAGGCAGATGTTGTTTGACAAGGTGCCAGAGACCTAGTTGCACAAAAGCACAAACAAACTGCACATCAAACTGTCCACTGACTATCCTGTCGTCGAAGAGAAAAGAAAAACGCCAGAAAATGCCCCCAGTGCAAAAATCAGACATCAGACGCGTCGTTGGGGATCGCCTTGACAGCGTCTTCGAATAACAATGCAAAGACATCCACCTGTATGTCTGGCAACTTGCTCGGGCACGATCAACCACCCGAGATAGTGTCGCACGTAACGGACAGCGGTCTCGAGGAAAGTAACCGACTGCATCGCATCGCTGTGATACGACAACATATCAATCGGGCTTCGAGACAAAGTATCAGTTGGAACTTCGCATATGTATGTGAATACGTGTACGTGCGTGATATATGCGCGTGTGTGCAAATACATACATGCACGCACACGTACATACAGACGTGCATGCATACACATTTACGTGCATGCAGACACACAGACAGACAGACATACGTACATACATACATACATACATGCATGCATGCATGCTTGCATACATACATACATACATACAAACAAACAAACAAACGCACATACATACATATACCTACCTACCTACCTACCTACCTACCTACCTACCTACCTACCTACATGCCTACATACACACATACATACAGACACACCCGTACATACATACATACATGCATGCATGCAGACATACATACCTAGAGACAAGCAAGCACACAACCAGTCATACATAAATACATACATAATACACACAAACACGCATACATACATACACACATACATGCATACACACATACATTCATACATTCATACATACATACGTACATCTACACGCACATGCATCCATGAATACATCAATCCATCTATCCATAATTCCATCCATCGATACATCCATCCATACATACTTATATACATACATACACACATACACATGTGAATATATATATATATATATAAAGTAAATGTGCAATTCCTGGCTCTGCCGGGCAGTGTAGCCGAGCCGCCACGAGACCTTCATCAAAGAGATGTGCGTCTCAGAACCGCCGTGGTCGTAGGCTGTGGGTGGGTCTCGTGCGCTCCCCTAGCGCCAAGCATTACGGACGCCGTGCGTCATGACGCGTGCCAGGCGCCACACTAGGCGTCGCACACCCACCCTCCCAGCGCGTCACGAGAGCAGGTGCCTTGAGCCAGAATAACTACTGTCTCTGCTCCTCCTCACCCTCCTCCTCAGCATACAAACGTATGTCTTACATGTAGCTATACATAAGCATATTACACAGATGTGGAATTACATACTGTACATATATTTATAAACAGTATATACATACGGAGAGAGAGGGAAAGACAGGCCTATAGACAGACAGACAAACAAAGGAGGAACAATAAGCAATAGAAAGGAAGGAAGCGGGGGAGAGAAAGAGAGAGACAGAGAGACAGATAGACAGACAGACAGACAGAGAGGCAGAGACGGACATAACGACATTTATAGAGATACATACAGAACACAGGAAATATATATATATAGAGAAATATAGAAAGAAGGAGAGAGAAAGAGAGAGAGAGAGAGAATAAAGAAAGACCAACAACATAAGTAATGATGATCCCCCCCAGGACGGCCTGCTGCTTGTCCACCAGGGAGAAGCCACGTATCTCCCAGCAAGCCCGCGCCTGGGGGGGTCCACCCCGTTTTCACCCCTCGCTCCCCTCCCCCTCCCCCCCAGGACGGCCATGCCGCCGAAGACGACGACCTCCTCCCCGTGCCCCTTCCTCCCAACATTTCCCAAGCTCGGAGGCGAGCGAGGGGGAAGTGAGAAGGAGCAGGCCTTCTGAGCAGAAGGCTCGGAAATCCCCGAACCTCCTGTGAAGTCTTCTGAACCTTCCCCGGAGACACAGAAACTCTCTCGGAAGGCGCGCGGGCTTCTGAGAAGTCCCGCCGCCTTCTGGGAAGGCCTTCTCCTTCTCACTTCCCCCCTGGGTGCGCCGCCGAATGTGGTTGTTGGGTCGTCACTCGGGTCTCCGGCGGCCCTTCGGGACGATCCCTGCACCCCCAGAACACCCTCGCCGAGGCGCAGCCGCTGGAATGCATCACGAGGCTGGAAGACCGTCGAGAACCGAAGGAGATGTCCGAAGACCTCGGACCTCGAGCCCGAAACTTCGCTCGCCACCGACTGGCGCCTCCTCCGAGGCGAAGTCGCTCACCACCGCGACGGCCGAGGGCAGCTGGCGGTCGGGCTGCGTCTGGGCCGCCATGGCGGCCCCCGCCCCCCGGCGGGCCGCGGCGGCGGCGCCTCGACGCCGAGGCCCTGCCGCGCTCCCCGCGAGGGCGGGGGAAGGGGGGGGCGGGGAGGAGGAGGAGGAGGAAGAGGAGGAGGAGGAGGACGCCCCGCTAACCTTCACTTACCCTGTCTTGTGGCGGAGGGATGGGATCGGACTGGTCGGGTACGGGAGGTTACAGACTGCTAACTAACCTAACAAAGGCCGGGTCAGACCCAGCAACACACAGCGCTAGAGCACTTCGCAGCCATCCCCGTCGCTACCTCCCGCGTGCATCGCATTCCTAGCTTACGTCCCACTTCCCTCTCCTCCCTCATTAACACATGGCCGTCGGCAGCAAGCGGTTTGGGCTATGGCCGCTACGGGCAACAGCCCCAGCGCAGCCCACGTCAGCCCATTTGGGCATCGCAACAGGCCGCCTTGGCGCCGCCAGGGCGACCGCCGCCAACGAGCAACGCGACGCCGCCAGCCTCTCCCCGACACCATCGTCGGCAGCCATGGCTGACGGGGAACTGGGACACACAAATGAATAGACACAAATAACCAGATTCCCCATATTTTCCAATATTTTCTGGGTTTTCGTCTTCCCCCCCACTTCCCATGTTTTCCCATATTTTCTGGGGAACCGCCGACGATGAATTGTGTCTGTGTGCTTTTTCCCCTCCTGAATAGCGTTGGCCAAGGCCGCCGCGGGCAACAGCCAAAGCGCGACCCACGCCGGCTGGCGAGGCACTCTGCCCAGGCTGGCTCTCCCCTCCGACCGTGCCGCCCTGCCTGGCCTGGCACTGCTGCCAGCGCGGCAACCGCCGCGCACAGGGGGCGGCGGGAGCGGCCACGACCTGGGAAAAGGGGGAGACTGCCCGCGCCGCACCGCCTTCGCTCGGAGGCCGGCCGGCCCCGGGTGCAGCGCTGCCGCAGGGGCCTCTCCCTGTGCGGCCCGGGGCCCGTGCCGGGCGCGAGGGCGCCCCGTGCTGGGGCCCCCATCGTGGGCCTCCCCGCGCGCGCCCGGCTCCCTCCCCGTGCCCTCTCCTCGCCCTCCCCGCCTCGTGCTCGCCGTCTGCCGACACGTCGTGGCCCGCTCTCCGGCCGCGCGTCGAGCCGGCGACGGCGACCGGCACGGCCCAGCGCCGGGCGCCGGGGCCCCCTGGCGGCTGCGCCGGCCCCAGAGAGTCGGGTCCCCGCGGGGCCCGGCCTCGGGAAGGCCCACGGCATCCAGCAGGAGGGCTTCGAGCAGCCCAGGATCGAGAAGATAGGGTGGAGAGCCCCACTCTGCTCTTGCGTCCTTCGCACTGGGGGGGAGGATGGCCGCGTTCGACGCATTCCATGGCCGAGAGACAGAGAGAGGGGGAGAGCACGAGGAGGAGCAGGAGGAGGAGGAAAGAGGGAGGACCTTCTTCCACTGTGCCGCTGCAAAACAACTTCCAGATCGCAAGAAATGCAAGGTCTGCCTCGCAGGGAAGAACCATAAGATCGACCAGCTGGACGCTGTCTTTGACAGCGGCAGCCTTTTGACGAGCCGCTGCAGCACCCCACAAGCTGATGCTCGGTGACCGCACGTGGGCCGGCGATGACGACTGGGCGAGGGCCCTACAGGGCGTCTGGGCAAGCTTCTGCCCAGGCGCCAACCTCTCCACAACAGTGAGAAACCCTTGGCCCACAGAACGTGGGATGGGTGGATGGGCTTGCCAGCAACTCACGGGGCTGCCCGCTCGGGCAGCGGATCCAACAGCAGCCTCCTCCAGAGTGCATCGTCCCTCGGGGGCAGGGGCCGCCTGGGCTGAGGCGCCCACTTCATGTTCCGCGCCACCTCCCACCCCCCGCGCCCACCCCACCACCAGTAGCAGGGCAAACAGAGCCAAGGCGGGCGCGGAGCGAGTGCGCAGCATCCGAAACCGTGGCCTTGCAGAGGCCACAGTGCCTGGAACCCCGATCCAGGTCCTAGAGGCGCCTCGAACATCTGCGGCGCTCCAGCGCCGTCTGCTCAAGCCCAGGTCCAGGGGCTGCTCGCGGAGACGAGGGTCTGGCTCGGCCTTGAGGGCCGCACTCTCAGGGATGATGGCAGCGCTGCGCTTCAACATGCAACAGGCCTGCTGCGCAAGGTCTGTACACAGTCACCCCGTATGATAAGCATGCGCGGTAAGGATGCAAGGGCCTGGGGCCTCGGACGCCCATGCCGAGGCTCCCCGAGCGGGGCTGGCCATCCGCAGCGGCTGAGGATGGACCGAAGAGGACCGACGAGGCAGGGATGCGACGTCCTGTTTGTTTCCATACGCGGCCCACGGAACTCCCGACCCTTACCCCAGGACCTCTGTTTTTCCTCCCGACTCGTTCTTACCAGCCTGGAACATATCCCTATCCCTAAGCTGGGCATCGCCTCATCGCGATGCCAATCTTAGGGATTCCCTTAGCTTTTCATGGCGCATCCCTAAGATTGTCATCGCCTTTGGGCGTGTCAATCTTAGGGATGGGATAAGTTCGAGACTGGTGACGTGCTCTGATGGCCCCCGGGCCCGCGAAGGGCCCCTGGAGGTCGGCAACGGCCCAAACCTGCCCGTCGCCCGCTCCGTCGGGAGGCCTGGGCCTCCGCACCCTGTCACGGATACCCTCGGGAAGCCGATCAGCCTTCCTATGCGTGCTGACGGGAAGTAACACGCACAAACGAATCAGACAACCTGCGTTCAGCCGCCCCGAGGACGGCCAAGCCACCGGCGCAACCGAGTTGAGGGCCGCGCGGAGCCCAGCCAGTTGAGCAGTCAAAAGGGTCCCTGACCCGACGGGAGGGGACCTAATGCAGGAGGGCCAAAAGCATTTGAGAAGGCAACTACTGGGAGGTCTTCGTCGGAAGGGTTAAAGGGCAGCGGGACTGACCGAGGGCCCGCAAAAAGAAAAACAAGCGAGGGCCAGGGCGAGCCCGGCGTAACCTGGGCGGTTGGCAACACACACACACACACATGCACACACACACATGCACACACACACACACGCATACACACATGCACAAACACGCACGCACGCACGCACACGCACACGTACACGCACACCCGCACGCCCGCACACACACACACACACATACACACACACGTACACACACACACACACACTGGCAACATCAACCAGACCCAAGCCGAGTTTGGTAAACGCCTCCAGTTCCAGGGCCAAGGTCCACAAGGTCAACGGGGGCCACCACTCCTCCAAATGGCAACGGTTCAAGCCACATAACCATCCAAACCTTCGCGGACTTAGGCGAAGAGAAAAGTCTGAAACTCGAGAACCGCAAGCGCGCCCCAAGGCACAGGCGCAACTTCACCAAAACGAATGGCATCACTGCAAGTCGCGCACACCACGGCGCAATCGATCCGGCTCGCGGAGACACCCGATCAAGTGACCGAATCAAGGCATCAGGCCTGGAACGAGACCGAGGTGTTCCAGCAAACCAAATTCACCGAGCACAAACTGGTCGGCCTGCTGGTCCCCCACCACCGACGCGGGGACTCCAGCGCAACTACGGTGGGCCTTAATTTTGGAGAGCAGTCCGAGCTGGCCTCTAGTGCGCAAACACCGGGGGCAACGGAGAACTGATTTTTCCCCAACGAAGCGCGCACATCAACCGCCGGGAGGAACCTACAGAAGACCATTCGCATGCGGCGTGACCCCTCATGGCGAGTCGTTAGCGTCCGCGGCGCGCGCGGGCTGGGCAACCGCTCCCCAGCCGCCTGGTGGAACCTTCTGACCGTGGCCATGGACATATCCGCTCGAGCTCCATGCTAAACGTAAACAACTACAGCAGCCGAGGTCAGCGAGACCCATCGCAGGGCCGTGGGCACCCGAACGCAAACGCCAGGGCAAACCAAATTGATCGTCTTGGGCATACCCGAAGACGAGGCTGAGGGGGGCTGGCATGCGACCAGTATCCGAGCCACCCACAAAAAGTCGCAACCACCTGCAGAATCGCCAGGGACTCCATTATGGCGGTCCGCTCGAGGGCCCCTGTCACATGCGCCCGAGCCAGCGCCGATAGGGGTAGCTGAGATAGTCGCGGCCGTCGGCGCGGAATCAGCTGCTGCGCCAGGCTGATCTCCGCGAGACGTCTGTGATGCCGCTTCGAGCCGCCGCGGGCGGGGGGGGGCATCGCTGCGACCGCAGCGCTGAGACGCGGCATCTCGACCCACGGTCGCAGCGGACCCTTCGCCATCCACCAGCGGGAGACAGACAGAGGCCACCGCAATCCCAGCGGCGCCGAAGCGCAGCATCTCGACCAGCTGAGGCAGCGGAAACACCCGGTGGACCCCTGCCCAGCCACGCGGGAAAATGGGGCCCGCCAGGCTGGTCCACCGAAGCAAAACTTCGCCGGCAAGCGTCGCCAACCCCCGGGGTTTCGGCCGCCTGCGCGCGCGCGGCCCCGGGGCGAGGCTGAGCGAGGGGAAGGGCAGCGAGACCGCGTCGCCCGCCATCCAGCGCCCGCCCCGACTCGCGGCCGGCGCCCCTGCAAGGATGGCAGCACGAGCCGAACGCGGCGGCGCCCCGAGCCGAGCCGCCGCAGAGCCTCGCTCCAACCCAAGGCATCGGCCACCCCCGCGCGGGCGGCCCAAGGAGGCCGAAGGGCGGCGGCCACCCGCGCGTCTGCGCCCCACCACTCCAACCCGCGAGGCACCGTTCTCCGGGCCAGCCCCAGCTCGACGCCGACGGGCCCCCCAAGAGCACGATCGCGCGGCGGCGCTCCGGCGCGGCCCAGCAAAGCTCTGAACACGTCCATGAAGTTTTCGCATCCTCGCCAACGGTGAACCGCACCGGCCCCCACGGCGCGCGCGCCAGGTTTTGCGCCGCGCCGGCGCGCCAGATCCCCCCGCTGCGCCCGCGCCCCCAATCGCCCTCGCGCGCCCCCCGAGCTGCTTCATCAACTGAATCTCGGCATCTCTAGACGCTGACAAGGGTCAATCTTCGGGGTCTACTGCCGCCCAAACTTAAGAGGCACATCATGTAGTTCGCGCCAGCCCACCCGTTGAATCATCATCACTGTCCTGGACGAGCACCCAAAACCCCCA